TTTAAAAGCGCTAAATCATAAAAATTTACCATAAGCAATTAATTAATTAAATTAATTAATTAAATTATTAAATTTAAAGCTCACGAATGGGGTAAAGCACTAGCATGCTAGAAATTCGCCACTTGTAGAAGCAAATCCTTCATCTTCCTTCCTTTAAGCGTCCCTACAAAGGCCTTATGCATAATTATTTAGGAAGAAAATGAATGTGACCTATTCCAGTGAGGATATATGGTTAAGGGCTTGGTACTCATGGGCTTGATTGCCCTCCAAATCAGCATGTGTCATCCGCTTTCTTTTGCCTCCTTTTTAGGCGAAAAGTTGGGCTAAGACATGATGTGATCTATTTTCAGCTGCATTCTGCATTTTTACTTTTGGTGTCGCAAACATGTGACCTGTCCATTTGCGTATTTTCTCTAATTCCGTGCGTCACATAAGTGTGACACCATTCTATAACAGAAGCAAAAGTGGAAAACTGTGCGAATTAGAACTTTTTTGAGGTGTAATAATCGTCTCCTGTTTCTGTTACCTCATTGCAAGCAGAATAATAGCAAAATTCGTTTAATACTTAGGATCACAGAAGACGGACCAAGAATTAGGACACAGTGGGATAAAAGTAGGCGACAGGACTCATTAAAGTGACCCCCTTCACCTCCTCTGTGCAAATATTAACAAAGAAATTGTATAGAAAGATTTCCTTTAAGGGTTAAAGGCATTTGCAAAAGGTTTGCTGGATAAAGATTGGTTGGCTGTGTTATGTGAGAGACATCTGAGCTTCTGCACAATAAGTCACAGTGACAAAGTCACCAAAGAGAAAAGAATGTTTAAAAGGGATTCCCTATTTGATGCCTTGTTCACATCTCAGGTGGCTGCTCAAGTGACTTCAAATGGACAAAGTTCAGAAGGCACAGACTCTTCACCCAGCCACTGAGAAGGCCTACTATGCAGCTTTCATAGGTGCATCGGGGTGTCTCGAAGAAGCTCTTTGCAAAATCCACCTAATCGGTGCTTCTAAAAGTCGTGGTATATCAAGAAAT